AAAGTCAGGCTAAAAAGGTATTATTTAATTTATCATTATATAAACAGATTTAGATTTATATCCAAATTATTATAATACGTAATTATAGGCAGGAAAAAAAGAACAGGTTATACTCGAACAAGTTATAGAAAATGTAAAACCTCATAACCCAAATAAACAAAAAGAATTACAGGCAGCATGTACAGAATGGATCGTTATGGATTCTTTATCCTTTAATGCACTTCTTGGAAAAGGATTTCAACGATTTATGAAGAAAATTGATCCACGATTTAAACCACCATCTAGTAAAGGATGTAAAAATCTTATAGCAGCAGCTTATCAAGATGGAATAACCAAACTTAAAATGAAAATTAATGAAACATGTGAATATGCTACCATTACCACGGATCTCTGGACTGCCAGATCCAAATTTGGATATATCGGTATTACAATTCATTGGCTCACACCTAATTTTGAAATTATTGATGTGCTTCTTACTATTGAACGTATGCGGTACCCCCATACAGCCGAAAAAATATACGATTATATTGATAATAAAATAGATGAATTCGATTTAAATAAAAAATTATTTTTAGGAGTCACTGATAATGGTTCCAACATGAAGAAAGCCTTTACTATGTGGGAAGATATTGAATGGTTACCCTGTTCCGCTCATACTCTACAACTGTCAGTAACAAAAGGTTTAAAAAAAATTAGCCCTTACGTAAAAAAGTTCAAAAAATTAGTAAAATTTTTTACAGAGTCAGTTAAACAATCTGAACGGCTTGATGAGGCGCAAATAGATCTTGCACAACAGAATCATATTTGAGAAGAGGATGTTAAGATTGTCTGATTTAACCAATTATCAACTCTTGATATAGATGAAGAAATTAGTTCAGAAGAAGAGGATAATGACGATGGAGAAATTGATGAATCTACAATAAAAGTATTGCGTAATATCGCTGATGTTTGTACTAGATGGAACTCTAGTTACTATTCATGGACAAGGCTCTTAGAATTAAAAGATGCAATAACGTGGTTAGCATCCGTTTTGCCCTTAAGAAAAGGAAAAGAAAATAAAAAAGATAGTCAAAAATTGTCTCAGTTACTGCTAAAAGATTATGAGTGGGATTTGTTAGAAAGAATTGTTAATGCATTAAAACCATTTGAACTCGCAACAAAATTCTTTTTAGGAAGCAAATATCCCACTCTTTCACTAATGTATCCTATTATTTGTGAATTACAAAATAAATTTATCGATTTTAGTTTAGAACTGAGTAATGATAATGAAGATAGCGACGATGAGGATGGTAAGTTTATCAATTCTACTTCACTAATGTGACGATTAATATTTAAAGTTTGCTGATTATTATCGTTATGATTACTAATGCAGTAATGTTAACTGTTAATCACTACGTAGCAGATTTTAGATATTAATTGTGATGGATTAAAATGAAATCAGATCAAAATGAAATATTGTCAATATAAAAAATAGACAAGCCGCTAAAAAATAAAAACTTTTGAGATGCACTTTTTACGGTTAGAGGTTAGGGTTAGAGGTTAGTTTTAGGGTAGTGTTTATAATAAACAAGTATAAGTAGGTTTTAGAGGGTTAAATAGAAACCCTCATTTCATTTTAATCCAGTTTCATTATGATCCGTGACATTAATTATCACATTATGCAACAATGCCATTATTATAACTTCTGAACTTTGTAAATATTGGCATCCGACATGATTTTCGTAATATTAATAATGTAACAATTAAATACTATGCAGTGATAAGAAGTCGAATATATTTTTCTAACTTTCTTTCAAATTAATTAGATATGATATTAGATTCTGAAAATGATGACGACACTCATTTACATGCTCCATTACCACCGCCCGATCTCGATCAAATAGAAAAGCAATTTAAATTGCTATTTCTGACTCTTTGAATAAATATTGGCACGATTTTCGTGAAGTTGGATTGGTAGCTACCCTTTTAGACCCCCGAACCAAAAAATGTCTGCATTTACAAATAGAGAACGAGAAAAGGCTGAATCAAAATTGAGAAATGAATTTGAAAATTTATATCTTAATATTACTAGCAATAATCAATCAGAGCAACAAACATCAACACTAATAGTTACTGAAATCATGCAAAATCCATTTTTTGAAGGTATTTTTGGAGCACAGAATCATGAAGATACGCCTTTAGATGAGGTGGCACAATATCTAAAGACTACCCCTATTAATTATAATGCCAATCCTTGGCAATGGTGGAATGATCATAAAACCGAGTTTCCAATTTTGTCATTGTTAGCACGTAAATATTTGTGCATACCAGCAACATCTGTCCCTTGCGAGAGACTTTTTTCAGATGCAGGAAACCTGATTACTCCCCAACGTACACGATTAAGTTCAAAGATTATTGGAAAAATTCTTTTTTTTAAGCGTAATGCTGAACATCTAAGTAGGTTTAAAATTTATATATAACTTTAAATGCAAATGTTTTTTTTTTCACACGCAATTCTTTTTCTTATACGATTCTTCTTTATGTTATTTGCAATAGGCTTAATCGAATAACAATAAAAAAAAAAATCTACAATATCTAGGCTGAAAAAGATGAATACAAAGACATCAGGATAGTCATTATTATCAAAAGTGTGCTAATGCTTATATCTATTGGAGGAATATACTACGAAATTGCTATAAGCAAATATATTTTGTTGTAATTATGAAGGTTAAAAGTGCTGACAGTGGATATAATCCTATTGGATAATTAGTTGGAAAGGGTTTTTATAAGAATTGCAGCTTGGCTTTTTTAATAAAAAATAGTATCATTCAAAATTCTATTCTAAATTGCGTAATATGCAATTGGCCGTTACAGTATATTCATTATGGTGATATCATCAAAAGGATCAAAAAGGATAAATATAGGAAATTTATGTGCTATTAAACGTGGGATATAGGTAGCGCTAGCATTTCAATTTTTTTTTTTTTTTGTGTATTTTGCTGTGAAATTTTAACTCTGAAAATTGGAATAAATTGAATTATGATTAGCAGTTTAACAATAATATTTTCTATTTTTATTTTACTTTTAATAATCTTTCCTAACATAATATAACATACAAGTTTTAGTAATTATTGCTATATGAATACAGTTAGGCTACTAAACAATGATACGATTATTAAATGGTTAATAAACGGTTAAATAGTTAAACATTAAAATAATATTAAATGATTAATTAACGGTTAAAGCGACCAAACAGTTAAACAATAAAATTTATTGTTTAACTGTTTAGCCATTTTATCCATTTATTTAATAAATGGATAAAACGGCCAAACAGTTAAACAATTAATACTGTAAGTGATTAAACAATTAAATGGTTAAGACAGTTATATGATTAATAAATGGTTAAATGATTAAACGGCTAAGCGATTAATAAACGGTTATACGATTAAACGGCTAAGCGATTAATAAACGGTTATACGATTAAACGGCTAAGCGATTAATAAACGGTTATACGATTAAACGGCTAAGCGATTAATAAACGGTTATGCGACTAAGCGATTAATAAACGGTTATACGATTAAACGGCTAAGCGATTAATAAACGATTAAACGGCTAGGTGATTAATAAACGGTTATACGATTAAACGGCTAAGCGATTATACGATTAATAAACAGTTAAACGATTAAACGGCTAAGCAAATATAAACGGTTATGCGATTAATAAACGGTTATGCGATTAATAAACGGTTATACGATTATTCATGATTAATCGTGTAACTTCTAATTAGG